TAAACAGAACTCTAAAAACATTAATATTGTTTACATGTCATTGCACATGAAGGCACCATCTGCGACACTATAGTGCCCATATTTTAAGATTAACTTGCAAGGACGATGAAGCCTGAGCGACGCGACGCGACCGATGTCGTGGGTAACAATTTAAATATAAAGGCGAAGAGGAGGTTTGCTAAAACAAATTTGGAGGCCCAAATTGACCATTGTCGCTGACACAGCTAGTTATAAATATAAAAGGCGTACACTAAAATGTATTTCGATATTACCTACTGAGCAATACAAAACATTATTTGAATCTCTTGACATAAGACGGAATCTCAGATTTATATATTTTTTTGTTATTCCAACGAGACACGTCAATACAATAAATAAAACATTGCTATAGTGTGCACATTGCACTTTACAGATAATCAGATTTAATGATAATTATGTCAAAATACTAATCTGTAGTAGTTATCAATCTTATTTCTATAATCTATGTCACTCAAAGTCTACTTCTAATAGTAGTTATTATTATGGCTGTGTGACTCACCTAAAAAACTTGTTCAAAAATTACGATATATTATGTAGGTAGATTTATAAAAGTAAAACTTTGTACGAAATTCACAATCCTACCATATTAAAATAAATTCTTATAATCGCTATTATTTTATTTAAATAAAACCACTTTTTAAAACTTTCAAAATTATTTTTAACTACGGCCCGACGTTTCGGATACTCTGTTTACGTTGGAATCACTGGCAACATTGTCAGGTTAACAGCTGTTTTTGATTACTCAGTTAAATATTTATAAAAATATTATTATTTTCCTGTTTTGCGTTATATTTATTGCTTATTTTAAAATCTGCATCTTTATAATCACATAGGGATACAATTTCCTTTCTTAAAAAAGTGAAAGTAAAATATAAGTGACAGTTGTCTTTGTAAATTTGAATTTATAAGTTCTTTTCATTAAATTAAGTTTGAAATAGTAGTTCATTTGGTAATATAAGTGAAACAACAGTCACGTAAGTACCTTCCTTCAAGTAATTTATACTTAATATAGTTCGGTGTACCTGCTAAAAACAAACTACTTCGAACCTCCACCAAATTGAGTACATTCTTACTTCTTGCCTCAAGACAAACGTTTTTTTAAAGTCATGTTGACTCGCAGAGGCTTTGCCGCACAAGAGGAGTCTAAATTAAAACTGGCTTTAAAGGAATTGCAGTCTTCGAACTCAATTAACATTGGAAAGGGAGGAAAATGAGAGGGAGTTTTAAGAGGTATTGCAGAGTAAAAAGAAACTCAAATCAGAGTTAACTTCACTCTTTCAAGGAAATACCAAAATTCAACAAGAACGGGATATGCTACAAGACCCACTTAATAGGCTAGACAACTTTGGGTTTGAGTATGAAACTACTTTGAGCCGCATTAACATTCTCGAAAAGGATTTATGTGAGGCCAATCAACAGATCAACAGCCTCAAAACAGGCATACAGTTGAATTTGGGCTTGGAGACACAAAACCAATTCAATTAACTAGTTTGTGGCATACCACATAGTGCAAATATTAACTCACCGAGTAATACCGGCCTGGTTAGATGTAGCAACAAAAAACTAAAAAAATATATAAAAAATAATAAGTTTATAAGTAGAACACAAAGGTTATTAAAAAAACAAAAAAAGTTAGTATCCAACATAAAGTTAAAGCAGGAAAATATTGAACTCCGAGGTAATATTGAGTTGCATGAAATAGAATTTAATAATTTAAGTTTAAAATATGATATAGAAACGCAACAACTACACAAGGAGATAGGGAGATTGGAGAACCTAACAGACTCTTTAATAGATAAATTTCAGGAGTCTCAAGAGATGGTTGAGAAGTACTCATCTGCTATGGATGATCTCCTCAAGATCTCCAAACTCAGAGCAGAGTGTTACATGTCAAAAAACATGAATTCTTTTGACCAATACTTCACAAACAAATCTAGTTCATTTCCTAAGGCTCGTAGATTAGTTAAAAATAGTTTAGCCAAAACCAGTACATTGGATCTAAATAAAAACAATTATAATTTAAATACTTCTTCTCGTAAATATAAACATGAAGTCATATTCAACTATTGTAAACACAAAGTAGGTAGTTCTTTCTGCAGAGAAAATGCACAGCGAGGAGGCTCATTAATTTTTATTAGCAAACATTTAAAATATAAGGAAAGGAAAGATATAGTGAGTCTATCTGTGGAACGAATTATTGAGCTTTCTTGTATAGAGCTAGAGCAATTTATAGTTGTTAGTTTGTATAGTCCTCCATCGGCTAATTATATTTATTTAGAAAACAAACTAGAAGAAATTTTGTTTAAATTACAAAGATTAAATAAAAAAATCATTGTCTGTGGAGACTTTAATATTAATTTGCTAGATGATCACTGCCGTTCATCTTTACATTTGCTGAATCTGTTTAAATCATTTAACTTATTTAATCATTTTAATGAGCCAACAAGAGTTACGCCTACCACGGCAACTTGTATAGACAATATCTTCAACAATTAGTATAGTTAGTATTGTCAACAAGCTTACATCTGATCACTCTGGTCAGTTGTTTACTTTTAAAAATAATAAGAACAAAGTTTATAAAAAGAAGATATGTACTGTAACAGTTACAGCTGAACGAATAGATAGATTTAGAAATAGATTAATAAGCAGTCTCCCATTTTTGTGACAACAGGTGCCCTAATAATTTATATGGTGCATTTTTTGGTTCATTTATTGATGAATTTAAAAATGTATTTCTACCGAAGACTTTTTTGGTCTCTGAAAAATTAATCTTTTGTGACTGGGCCACCTAGGAGTTGCACAAAAAAAGGAGAAAATTGTATGAGGAAAAGCAGCACAATAATAGTGAAGAGTTTAAAAGTTATGTCAGGATGTTTTCCAATAATTTTAAAAAAGAATGTCGCTCAGCTAAGTCGCAATATTTAAGTTTAAAAATAAAGAACAGCTCTGATAAGGTAAAAGCCACTTGGAAAATGATAAACGAGGAGACAGGGCGGATTACACATAAAGCTTTAGATTACAGATTAAAAGTCGATGGTAAAGTAATCAGCTCAGGGCTCGAGGTGGCTTCTGCTTTCTGAAAAGTTCTTTACCGACATTCCTCTAAATATAACTAAAACTTTAAAATCTTCATCCTCTGCCGCCCTTCAATTATTAGAAATGTCTGTACCAAAATGTAATAGTAGATTCAGCTTCAGTTATGTTAATAGAAATGATAATATGAAAACTTTAAAATTACTCAAAGTAAAAAAATCTAAAGATATCTGGGGTGTATCAACAATGGTTTTACAGTCAGTAATTGACATTGTTGGTTCAGAATTGGCTATTATATTTAATAGATGTATCGACTGTGGAGTGTTCCCTGACCAAATGAAGCTTAGTAAAATTTTGGCTAAGGCGGGCAGCACTACTGATCCATCGAATTATAGACCCGTGTCTGTGTTGCCTGCCTTGAGTAAAATTTTTGACTACGAGTTAATTATGATATTAATTGATAGATAGCAGGATTAAGTCTGATTGAGTTTGATAATCGTATAGACAATATATAGCGGGCATAGACCCAGATTTTTTCTATTCATTATTTAATAACATTTCAACGAATACATACGTGTCTATGCTTTTAGGATTTTTAAATTTACCGTAAGGTGAATCTTTAACGGTTTAAAACGCGAAATGTATCAATTAGCTTACTTTCAGCTGCTTGTTATATAATATCAGGTCATAATTTAAAAAAGTCATAATACTAATTTGTTTCACGTTACATTATTGTATTACACAATGTAATTTTTTAGAAATTTTTGAGTCTCCATAAGGGGGAGTCTTAAACGGTTTAAAACGCGGAATATATTAGTTAGCTTATTTTTCGCTGCTTGTGCTGAAATATATACGATATTTTTTATATTTATATTTACGACCGTAGTAGCCATTAACCTTCGAAGGGTTCTTGGTAAAATACTCCAAAATAACTTGAAGGAAAGTGTTAAGTATAAAAAATATGTTTAACCTGTTTTATTCAGTTTAAGTAGTTTAATTAATTTAAATAGGGAACAGTAATTATTTGAGCGTTTATTATATTTTTCTAAGAAAACTGTAAGTTTTTTTTTATTAGTTCCAGGCAAAAAAAGAACAAATAAAAAAAAATGTTTTCTACCGTAAAGTATTATATTAAATGTAAGTTTGTCTATACTTTTATTCTTGTCCCTGAAAAATAAATTACGACATTTTTTAGTATACATTAAGTGTATATTTTGTAAAAGTTACGCTCAAATTAGCTCAAAAAAAACGAATGGTGCCTTTCAAATCGTTAATTTTTTCACCATTTACTTCACTCACAAACAGTGCAACGTGAAGTCTTGTTTTTTTCTGTTGGAGTGTTTCTACCTGTCTTTAAGTATGTAAATTTTCAATCCTATTGTTCAAATAAGATTATTGTTGAATAGTTTATTTTAAGTTTAGTTATTTTGGGCAACAATATGCGTTTTGGCAAACCATCTTTATCTATATAAATTTAAACTAACCCATGACGTCGATCACGTCCCGTTGGGCTTCCAAGTTAATCTTATAAAATAGACAAATACTGTGGGAGACATTTTCATTTTTTGGGTATCTTAAACCGTTTGTAAAAATGAACAATTTCCCCTGTTTTATTTTCACATTGCCCGATGTCGTTTCGCTCCTAAGAGTCGCGGAGGTGTTTTATAGCTTGATGCTTCGATAAATGTTCTAACCAACACAAGAATTGTTCAATTCGAAGCAGTAGTTCCTGAGATTAGCGCGTTCAAACAGACAAACTCTTTAGCTTTATATATTAGTATAGAATTATAGATTATTTGCAACGTCAAAACGATACTATTATTTTCATACAGATTAAAACCTCGAGTTGAAAAGTCGTAATAATATTTATGATAACATTTTTGTAACTATTTTTTCAGACTGTTCAAAGAAACGAGCGGACATTAAATATGATGTGAGTTAGATTCAAATTATTTGCCTTACAAGTGATTCTGGTACAACAACTTCAACTTCTTCTTCTTCGTCTTCTTCAACTAGATGTGCTCTTGATCTGTTTCGGCTTTGACTGAAACGCGATTCATTTCTTGGTGGTTCGCGACCCGGACTAAGTTTCGATATTTCAAGCACCCATTTTGGGTACAAAAAAATGCTAGACTTGATGGGGATCGAACCCGCGACACATTGTTAGCTATTTATTGCTACTATTGATTTTGAATTTTTTCGAATTATTTCTTCTGAAAAGTGTTTTATTTAAATGTTTACGCGATTACAGACAATACCTGTAGGTTGTTTAATTCCTGTAAGAATTTAGTAGTTTTTATAAGAATTATTGTTTTTATACACAAGTAAGATTAAATTAATTTTCAGATAATTAAAAAAAATAAACCTTAAGGTTGTAATGATCTTGAGAGGTGCGTGTATTAGGTTGAATTAAAAGCTAGCTAGCTCAATTGGTTAGAGCAACAGCACGGAACGCTGTGGACGCCGGTTCAAGGCCTGCCCGTATTTTTTAGCCGTATTTTTTGAGTCGTATTTTTTACAATTTACAATCGATTTTTAATCTATTGTGTCAGAACAGGTGAAAAATATTAACTTGTTTAAAATATTTAAATAAAACACTTTAATGGTTTAAAGCGCGATATATTAGTTAAACTTGATTGAAAACGTATTTTAACCCGACGTTTCGGATGCTTTGCAGCATCTGTGGTCACGAGGACCGTCTCTCTGGATTCGATAGGAATTGACCCCCAGCCCGTTTATTAGCCATGGGTTATCATTCAAATGTGATTTTGTTTTTTTCAGTTCGGACAGTTTACTTCCAATTCGCTTAGCTGGCAACGCTCTTCTCTTCACGGCTCATGTCATCAACATAATAGTAATGCATTTGGCATTACAGGATTTGAAGGACATAAACCTTATTATATTCAAATCTTTAAAATGGAAGTACATTACTATATGGAATTTGGTGAGATGCGTTTGAAAAAAAAATATATAGAAATATTACTTCCGGGATTTGAACCCAAAGCTTACCCGTGAGCAATATAGTTTGAAAACTTTATCTAAATGTAAAAAATCTATTATAAATTCAGTTCCGTACTGTTGCTCTAACGCTGTGGATGCCAGTTCGAGTCCCGCTCGAATCGTAACTTTTCTCAGTTCATAATCGATTTTTAATAATTGTAGTAGACACTAAAATGTGTCTGCTTGATACAATGAACATTTCCTCATATTCATACGCTTTAGTACATAATCTTATCTTTAACAGATAATACAAAAAAACGTTCAATGCCCTGGTTCGAGGTAGACATATAATTGTGTCCGTTTTATTGATAGATTTATAAGCATGTAGGTAATCATCGCTGTAGAGTAGTGAACATCCTTACTTTTTATATCAAAAATTAAACTTAAAAAAAATGTATTGTTTGTTCTACAGATAGAGAGACCCTAGTCTTCACTCTACGGCAAGACTGTGGTGGGTGACTAGTCTCTTCCAGGTTACAATAAATATCTTAAATCCAACCTATGTATACTATAACATATGAGATATAGATTCTGCTTTATTATTTAATTCGATTACATGTTTCTATGTTATTCTTTTTCAGGCCTTTCAAAATATCTACCTCTTGGGCTGTATAGCGTGCGATCTATCCACCATGTTTAAGATCTTCGACTCGAATCTCTTTTTGAAAGAAATGAAGCGGTACAGAACAACGTACTTCGCGGCAGTTCTGTGGCCTACAAGTCTTGTAAGTATTAAATTCGATTGCGCAACAGGTGCATTTATCAATAGATTGAATTTAGACCATGTGTAGGACGCGGTTGCTCAATTGGTTAGAGCAACAGCACGGAACGCTGTGGGTGCCGATTCAAGTCCTGCGTGTCGTTTTTTTTTTCCATTTATAATCGATTTTTTATAAGTTCAGTAGAGCGTCGATTATCCGAAGTAATTAGGCGACGAGGGTGTTCGGAAAACCGGTATTTTCGGATAATTGAACTACCTATATGTATATTGATTCAGACATATTTACGTACAGGTAAATGAAAACCATGTTTACATTTACATATACCTTTAATGACATGATATGAAATAAACGAAAAAGTGCAGATATGTAATCTTATAGTAAAACATGTGTACTAGGTAGGTACAATTAACGCTTTAAAAAAACTTGCTGCTAACTACGGAAGCATGCCTACCCGCTTACGAGCGGCTAGATCACGGACAATTTTTTAAGAATAGATATATGATACTTGTCGCTTTCAGCCTGTGTTTCAAACCAACGCAAGGAAACAATCTATGACGTAGTGATAGAAAGTGAAGAGATAGATAGTGAAGAGCCTGTATTATGATAGAGAAGGACAAACACACATGCTCTTGATGGTAGGTGGAATACCGAAGCCATATAACGTCTAAACAATATACGTTGTCGACTACTTTTGTTTTTGGATATTTGGAAATCTACAGACTGAAACGGAAACGAAATTATTTTTGTGTTGGTTGGAACATTCATCCAGGAAGCCTTTACGCTATATAACATCACGCTGCGACTAACAGAAGCGAAGATACAGTGGAAAATGTAGAACAAAAGGGGAAAGTTATTCTTCTTTGCGGAGTCTAACTGATATATCGCGTTTTAAACCGTTAAAGTGTTTTATTTAAATACAATTTAATATCCAAAATAACTGTTCTTCGCGGACGTAGTAACGGACAGAGCTAATACGTATAAAATTAAGTAACTCTCTTGCCAATTTCTTTTATTATTATCTCAAAATCACCCTTATTATTTTCAGGTGGCCTCCGTGTTGTCCTGGCCTATATTCTTTTACAATAGAGAACTTGTATTCCCTTCCTATATTGACAAAGTACTGTCTTTGGGGTCGAATCATATGATACACTCATTCATAATCTTAGTGAATGCGTGGGAGCTGGTGCTTTTGCCAAGGAAAAGGCCGGCTACACATAATACAAATTTCCTAATCATGGCTGTCATTTATGAGGCTTATTTCACTCTGTAAGTGCAAGCACTTGGTGTCAATATATTTTGTTATTGGAGTTTGAACTTTAAATATTTTAACTTAAAAAAAGAGAAAAACAAAAACAATTATTACTAAGAAGTATTTTATTCAAATAAAACACTTATAACTGTTTAAAACGTGGAATAAATTGTTATAATCTATTTTAACTACCGCACGACGTTTCGGATGCTTTGCAGCAGCCGTGGTCACGGATTGACTGATCCAAAACGTCGGGCCGTAGTTAAAGAAAATTTTTGACTTATACATTTCGCGTTTTAAACCTTTAAAAGTGTCATATTTACATTTGTACTACTCGTACTCGTACTAAACTACAGACAGCGTTTAATTAAAATTATGATCTTTCAGGATGATAACAAACTACCGCCACACAGGATTATGGCCCTACCCACTCGCTTATGACTTATACGGAACCATTTATTTCCCCCTACTTATGCTGGGAATACTGATTCTACAGATTTTTTCGTATTTCATACAATGGCCTCTTGTGGATCTCTGTCATGGATCTCGGAAGAAAAAAGACTGAGCTTAACGCCATCTCGTGTCCAAAATGTAAACTATTTAAACCATGTTTGTGATATTAGGAAATATTATTAGCACCAAAAACAAGACAAGAATGCACGATAAAGAAAAATATATTTTTTTGAGTATGTATTTTTATGTGTGTTTAATAGCGATTCAATTTTAACCATTATATACTACTTCATCACACGTGTCTGTAGCTCAAAGCATGTCGCCTAGTATTGCGTTAGCACGAGACGTCCTGGATGCGAATCCGGGGAAACAATATCTTGTGTCGGGCAAGGCACAGAAATCTGGCCTTACCTTAAAAGTTTTAATATTTTTCACGTGTTATTGCAATTGGTTAGAGCAACAGCACGGAACGCTGACGATGCTGTAAGTCCTGCCCTAGTCGTATTGTTTTTTCATTTTGCTTTTTTAACTACTTACTTGTAAATTAAACTGTTTGAAACGGATATAGAAATGTGTTCACCCCATACCCCACGAGGGGGAACGGGACTTCACTTTATTACAATTGAAGAATGATTATAGCTAGACTTGTATTTCTTTTTAAAATTACATCTCTTCGCTTGTAGACATCCAAAACTGTTCTTCTATCAACGATAATGTAATAAATATTTGCATTTATCAACGGGTTTGAATTTGTATCCTATTAGCTATGAAATAAAACACATTATTGCAAGTGATTCGAGAATAATAAAAACAATAACATTTATTTTACTATTGGTTCTCAAAAATCCCCTCCGTCTACATAGGTACTTTAGTTTGTAATTTCACAAATCAACAAAGCCTCGGCAGAAGTTAACCGAAAAATCATTTCATTAGAAACTAATGAACGGAAATTTTCATTAAAAAACTGAAACTCAAAATGTTCTGATATTTCGGTTAGCTTTCGCGTACATTATATTAAGTTATATATTCTGTTTTTTACATAGATATAATATGTTTTTTTATATTTTGTTACTCTTTAATATGTTCAGGTAATGTGTAAAAATACTTCAGTTAACAAATTAATATTTTTTTTTATAATATAAAATAATTATCTCATAGAAAACAAGATATAAAAATTTTTCACTATTCATGATCGAACACCCAATATCGGCGGGTATTGTATAAAATAGAAGCTCTATTCGAACGAAAAAGAATTTCAATTTTGTTGTAAAAACACGTCAAACCCCGCTACCGTTCGCTTCTCGAAAACCCTAACATTATTATGTGTCCAAATCTATATTAACGTTTTAGTGAAATTTTTGCAAAACATAGTACAAAAGTTTTTTTTAGAAATATCTAATAAAAACTACCCAGCGATGTATCTTTACCCTATAACTATTACTACCGCACTGGAGCGGGACGGGGCGGATGCACGCGTCCTGCTCGCACATCTCTGCACCAATCACAAGTCAAGTCAAGACATTACAAGAAGTATAGAATGGACACATCGTCTCACGCGCAGGCTTTTGAAATCTTGTATAATGATTTCTCTTGAAAATAAATTCGACGTTCGCTCAGCCGCGCCTCTGAATCTGAACCCCAGAAGTTAATCTCTTCTAAAACGTCAGGCTGTAACAAAAAAAAATTGTTCAAATAGGTTTAACAAATATATATCACGTTTTAACCGGCAAAGTGTTTTATTTAAATGTGTACTACTCGCGTATATTACAGACAGTAATACATATATATCCGCGATCACGTCTGCTCCAAAAATCCGCAGGTCATAGTTAGATTAAAAATATGTTAACTAGTATATTTCGCGTTTTAAACCGTTAAAGCGTTTTATGGAAATGATGGATTCTGATTGTGCATAATAACACTCTCTGTCACCACTTAACTAATTTAACTGTTAAATTAATATTTTAGTTTACAATTAGTATTATCCTTTTTTATAGACTACTATTACAGACCGTGAATTTCTAATGCTAAACTTGAAGACCTTTAAATAGCAGGCAGATAGATTAATTAAACTAATTTTAATTTTTCCTTTTAATGTCACCCTGAACATATAAAATATATGTCCATTTACTGATAACAAAATCACGCAGTAATTCTTTAATTTATAAAGGGTTGTTTGAATAAAAAAGTTAATACGAACTAAGCCCTGCATACAAGTTCGTAAAATCTACATAATCTAAAATATTGTGTTAATCTTAATATATTAACTATCTCTTACCCGATGTAATTAAATAATTTAGTGGAGCAATTATTTTAAAATCTTTCTTCAAATTCCATTCAAGATGGAAGAAACTTATAGTATATTTTTTTATAAATTGATGAATCAATAATAAATAAAAGTATATAGTAAAATAAATGTTAAAGATTTTCCTACAAAATTAACTACTTATAATATTGCAGTTTTTCTAATAAAAAGGCCAAAATTAACTTAACTTTTAAGTATCATTAATTTTTTTCTCTTCGGAGAGCTAAGTATTCGAAAGAGGTCGAGGTTCTATAATAAAACTTTTTCTTACTTAACTTAACAAACCGGTCTTAATGACCATTTATGGAGACTCGTTAGTCGTTCTACAATTGCTTCTCTTGGATCGCAGAGGTCTTGGCGATATGGATAATTTGAGGATTGTAGTCTTAAAGATTGTGTGATGGTGGTGCAACGCGTGTTAAAACTAGTTTCGTTGGTATTCGGCTACGTTGACAAATATATTTTGAGGTGTTTTTCTATTAATATTAGTAATCCGCAGTTCTATAATGTCTTAAGTAATGAAATGCAGTATTTACATTTTTTTTTAACAAAAGAGGCCGCTAGAGACAGAATAGCCTAACTGCAATGTATATTTTCATAGTCTCAAAAAAATCATATCTACAAGAGCACAGTTACCGAAAATTGTTAACATAATTTTTACACGAATAATAGTTTAATTCATTTTTCGCCTAACTTAATTGCGCATTTTTATTTAACCTCTTATTTAAACCATGTTTTTTTTGTTATTAGGCCACTCTGCCTCTAGCAGCTTTATTGTAGTTGGTTTTAGAAATATTTGAAACTTTACATATTTTTTCGATAAATGCGTCATAAACGTATTATTTCCTAAAGTATCTTATCATTTATGAATAGTTGTTGTCGACGAATTGACGGAAATAAAGTACTTAATATTGCTAAGTATAGGACAATTTTTAAACAGAACTCTAAAAACATTAATATTGTTTACATGTCATTGCACATGAAGGTACCATCTGCGACACTATAGTGCCCATCTTTTAAGATTAACTTGCAAGGACGATGAAGCCTGAGCGACGCGACGCGACCGATGTCGTGGGTAACAATTTAAATATAAAGGCGAAGAGGAGGTTTGCTAAAACAAATTTGGAGGCCCAAATTGACCGTTGTCGCTGACACAGCTAGTTATAAATATAAAAGGTGTACACTAAAATGTATATCGATATTACCTACTGAGCAATACATAACATTATTTGAATCTCTTGACATAAGACGGAATCTCAGATTTATATATTTTTTTGTTATTCCAACGAGACACGTCAATTCAATAAATAAAACATTGTTATAGTGTTTCTATAATCTATGTCTCACTCACTCAAAGTCTAATCGTAGTTATTACTATGGCTGTGTGACTCACCTAAAAAACTTGTTCAAAAATTACAATATATAATGTAGGTAGATTAATAAAAGTAAAACTTTGTACGAAATTCACAATCCTACCATATTTAAATAAATTCTTATAATCGCTATTATTTTATTTAAATAAAACCACTTTTTAAAACTTTCAAAATTATTTTTAACTACGGCCCGACGTTCGGGATACTCTGTTTACGTTGGAATCACTGGCAACATTGTCAGGTTAACAGCTGTTTTTGATTACTCAGTTAAATATTTATAAAAATATTATTATTTTCCTGTTTTACGTTATATTTATTACTTATTTTAAAATCTGCATCTTTATAAACACATAGGAATAAAATTTCCTTTCTTAAAAAAGTGAAAGTAAAATATAAGTGACAGTTGTCTTTGTAAATTTGAATTTATAAGTTCTTTTTATTAAATTAAGTTTGATATAGTAGTTCATTTGGTAATATAAGTGAAACAACAGTCACGTAAGTACCTTCCTTCAAGTAATTTATACTTAATATAGTTCGGTGTACCTGCTAAAAACAAACTACTTCGAACCTCCACCAAATTGAGTACATTCTTACTTCTTGCCACAAGACAAACGTTTTTTTAAAGTCATGTTGACTCGCAGAGGCTTTGCCGCACAAGAGGAGTCTAAATTAAAACTGGCTTTAAAGGAATTGCAGTCTTCGAACTCAATTAACATTGGAAAGGGAGGAAAATGAGAGGGAGTTTTTAGAGGTATTGGAGAGTAAAAAGAAACTCAAATCAGAGTTAACTTCACTCTTTCAAGAAAATACCAAAATTCAACAAGAACGGGATATGCTACAAGACCAACTTAATAGGCTAGACAACTTTGGGTTTAAGTATGAAACTGCTTTGAGCCGCATTAACATTCTTGAAAAGGATTTATGTGGGGCCAATCAACAGATCAACAGCCTCAAAACAGGCATACAGTTGAATTTGGGCTTGGAGACACAAAACCAATTCAATGAACTAGATTGTGGGGTACCACATAGTGCAAATATTAACTCACCAAGTAATACCGGCCTGGTTAGATGTAGCAACAAAAAACTAAAAAAATATATAAAAAATAATAAGTTTATAAGTAGAACACAAAGGTTATTAAAAAAACAAAAAAAGTTAGTATCCAACATAAAGTTAAAGCAGGAAAATATTGAACTCCGAGGTAATATTGAGTTGTATGAAATAGAATTTAATAATTTAAGTTTAAAATATGATATAGAAACGCAACAACTACACAAGGAGATAGGGAGATTGGAGAACCTAACAGACTCTTTAATAGATAAATTTCAGGAGTCTCAAGAGATGGTTGAGAAGTACTCATCTGCTATGGATGATCTCCTCAAGATCTCCAAACTAACAGCAGAGTGTTACATGTCAAAAAACATGAATTCTTTTGATACCTCACAAAAAAATCTAGTCCATTTCCTAAGGCTCATAGATTAGTTAAAAATAGTTTAGCCAAAACCAGTACATTGGACCTAAATAAAAACAATTATAATTTAAATACTTCTTCTTGTAAAGTTTACAATAGTTGAATATGACATGAAGTCATATTCAACTATTGTAAGTAGGTAGTTCTTTCTGCAGAGAAAATGCACAGCGAGGAGGCTCATTAATTTTTATTAGCAAACATTTAAAATATAAGGAAAGGAAAGATATAGTGAGTCTATCTGTGGAACGAATTATTGAGCTTTCTTGTATAGAGCTAGAGCAATTTATAGTTGTTAGTTTGTATAGTCCTCCATCGGCTACTAATTATATTTATTTAGAAAAAAACTAGAAGAAATTTTGTTTAAATTACAAAGATTAAATAAAAAAATCATTGTCTGTGGAGACTTTAATATTAATTTGCTAGATGATCACTGCCGTTCATCTTTACATTTGCTGAATCTGTTTAAATCATTTAACTTATTTAATCATTTTAATGAGCCAACAAGAGTTACGCCTACCACGGCAACTTGTATAGACAATATCTTCAACAATAACTTGTATTGTCAACAAGCTTACATCTGATCACTCTGGTCAGTTGTTTACTTTTAAAAATAATAAGAACAAAGTTTATAAAAAGAAGATATGTACTGTAACAGTTACAGCTGAACGAATAGATAGATTTAGAAATAGATTAATAAGCAGTCTCCCATTTTTGTGTGATAAACGGTGTCCTAATAATTTATATGGTGCATTTTTTGGTTCATATATTGATGAATTTAAAAATGTATTTCTACCGAAGACTTTTTTGGTCTCTGAAAAATTAATCTTTTGTGACTGGGCCACCAAGGAGTTGCACAAAAAAAGGAGAAATTGTATGAATTGTATGAGGAAAAGCAGCACAATAATAGTGAAGAGTTTAAAAGTTATGTCAGGATGTTTTCCAATAATTTTAAAAAAGAATGTCGCTCGGCTAAGTTGCAATATTTAAGTTTAAAAATAAAGAACAGCTCTGATAAGGTAAAAGCCACTTGGAAAATGATAAACGAGGAGACAGGGCGGATTACACATAAAGCTTTAGATTACAGATTAAAAGTCGATGGTAAAGTAATCAGCTCAGGGCTCGAGGTGGCTTCTGCTTTCTGAAAAGTTCTTTACCGACATTCCTCTAAATATAACTAAAACTTTAAAATCTTCATCCTCTGCCGCCCTTCAATTATTAGAAATGTCTGTACCAAAATGTAATAGTAGATTCAGCTTCAGTTATGTTAATAGAAATGATAATATGAAAACTTTAAAATTACTCAAAGTAAAAAAATCTAAAGATATCTGGGGTGTATCAACAATGGTTTTACAGTCAGTAATTGACATTGTTGGTTCAGAATTGGCTATTATATTTAATAGATGTATCGACTGTGGAGTGTTCCCTGACCAAATGAAGCTTAGTAAAATTTTGGCTAAGGCGGGCAGCACTACTGATCCATCGAATTATAGACCCGTGTCTGTGTTGCCTGCCTTGAGTAAAATTTTTGACTACGAGTAATTATGATATTAATTGATAGATAGCAGGATTAAGTCTGATTGAGTATGATAATCGTATAGACAATATATAGCGGGCATAGACCCAGATTTTTTCTATTCATTATTTAATAACATTTCAACGAATACATACGTGTCTATGCTTTTAGGATTTTTAAATTTACCGTAAGGTGAATCTTTAACGGTTTAAAACGCGAAATGTATCAATTAGCTTACTTTCAGCTGCTTGTTATATAATATCAGGTCATAATTTAAAAAAGTCATAATACTAATTTGTTTCACGTTACATTATTGTATTACACAATGTAATTTTTTAGAAATTTTTGAGTCTCCATAAGGGGGAGTCTTAAACGGTTTAAAACGCGGAATATATTAGTTAGCTTATTTTTCGCTGCTTGTGCTGAAATATATACGATATTTTTTATATTTATATTTACGACCGTAGTAGCCATTAACCTTCGAAGGGTTCTTGGTAAAATACTCCAAAATAACTTGAAGGAAAGTGTACTTAACACTTAAAAATAAAAAATATGTTTAACCTGTTTTATTCAGTTTAAGTAGTTTAATTAATTTAAATAGGGAACAGTAATTATTTGAGCGTTTATTATATTTTTCTAAGAAAACTGTAAGTTTTTTTTTATTAGTTCCAGGCAAAAAAAGAACAAATAAAAAAAAATGTTTTCTACCGTAAAGTATTATATTAAATGTAAGTTTGTCTATACTTTTATTCTTGTCCCTGAAAAATAAATTACGACATTTTTTAGTATACATTAAGTGTATATTTTGTAAAAGTTACGCTCAAATTAGCTCAAAAAAAACGAATGGTGCCTTTCAAATCGTTAATTTTTTCACCATTTACTTCACTCACAAACAGTGCAACGTGAAGTCTTGTTTTTTTCTGTTGGAGTGTTTCTACCTGTCTTTAAGTATGTAAATTTTCAATCCTATTGTTCAAATAAGATTATTGTTGAATAGTTTATTTTAAGTTTAGTTATTTTGGGCAACAATATGCGTTTTGGCAAACCATCTTTATCTATATAAATTTAAACTAACCCATGACGTCGATCACGTCCCGTTGGGCTTCCAAGTTAATCTTATAAAATAGACAAATACTGTGGGAGACATTTTCATTTTTTGGGTATCTTAAACCGTTTGTAAAAATGAACAATTTCCCCTGTTTTATTTTCACATTGCCCGATGTCGTTTCGCTCCTAAGAGTCGCGGAGGTGTTTTATAGCTTGATGCTTCGATAAATGTTCTAACCAACACAAGAATTGTTCAATTCGAAGCAGTAGTTCCTGAGATTAGCGCGTTCAAACAGACAAACTCTTTAGCTTTATATATTAGTATAGAATTATAGATTATTTGCAACGTCAAAACGATACTATTATTTTCATACAGATTAAAACCTCGAGTTGAAAAGTCGTAATAATATTTATGATAACATTTTTGTAACTATTTTTTCAGACTGTTCAAAGAAACGAGCGGACATTAAATATGATGTGAGTTAGATTCAAATTATTTGCCTTACAAGTGATTCTGGTACAACAACTTCAACTTCTTCTTCTTCGTCTTCTTCAACTAGATGTGCTCTTGATCTGTTTCGGCTTTGACTGAAACGCGATTCATTTCTTGGTGGTTCGCGACCCGGACTAAGTTTCGATATTTCAAGCACCCATTTTGGGTACAAAAAAATGCTAGACTTGATGGGGATCGAACCCGCGACACATTGTTAGCTATTTATTGCTACTATTGATTTTGAATTTTTTCGAATTATTTCTTCTGAAAAGTGTTTTATTTAAATGTTTACGCGATTACAGACAATACCTGTAGGTTGTTTAATTCCTGTAAGAATTTAGTAGTTTTTATAAGAATTATTGTTTTTATACACAAGTAAGATTAAATTAATTTTCAGATAATTAAAAAAAATAAACCTTAAGGTTGTAATGATCTTGAGAGGTGCGTGTATTAGGTTGAATTAAAAGCTAGCTAGCTCAATTGGTTAGAGCAACAGCACGGAACGCTGTGGACGCCGGTTCAAGGCCTGCCCGTATTTTTTAGCCGTATTTTTTGAGTCGTATTTTTTACAATTTACAATCGATTTTTAATCTATTGTGTCAGAACAGGTGAAAAATATTAACTTGTTTAAAATATTTAAATAAAACACTTTAATGGTTTAAAGCGCGATATATTAGTTAAACTTGATTGAAAACGTATTTTAACCCGACGTTTCGGATGCTTTGCAGCATCTGTGGTCACGAGGACCGTCTCTCTGGATTCGATAGGAATTGACCCCCAGCCCGTTTATTAGCCATGGGTTATCATTCAAATGTGATTTTGTTTTTTTCAGTTCGGACAGTTTACTTCCAATTCGCTTAGCTGGCAACGCTCTTCTCTTCACGGCTCATGTCATCAACATAATAGTAATGCATTTGGCATTACAGGATTTGAAGGACATAAACCTTATTATATTCAAATCTTTAAAATGGAAGTACATTACTATATGGAATTTGGTGAGATGCGTTTGAAAAAAAAATATATAGAAATATTACTTCCGGGATTTGAACCCAAAGCTTACCCGTGAGCAATATAGTTTGAAAACTTTATCTAAATGTAAAAAATCTATTATAAATTCAGTTCCGTACTGTTGCTCTAACGCTGTGGATGCCAGTTCGAGTCCCGCTCGAATCGTAACTTTTCTCAGTTCATAATCGATTTTTAATAATTGTAGTAGACACTAAAATGTGTCTGCTTGATACAATGAACATTTCCTCATATTCATACGCTTTAGTACATAATCTTATCTTTAACAGATAATACAAAAAAACGTTCAATGCCCTGGTTCGAGGTAGACATATAATTGTGTCCGTTTTATTGATAGATTTATAAGCATGTAGGTAATCATCGCTGTAGAGTAGTGAACATCCTTACTTTTTATATCAAAAATTAAACTTAAAAAAAATGTATTGTTTGTTCTACAGATAGAGAGACCCTAGTCTTCACTCTACGGCAAGACTGTGGTGGGTGACTAGTCTCTTCCAGGTTACAATAAATATCTTAAATCCAACCTATGTATACTATAACATATGAGATATAGATTCTGCTTTATTATTTAATTCGATTACATGTTTCTATGTTATTCTTTTTCAGGCCTTTCAAAATATCTACCTCTTGGGCTGTATAGCGTGCGATCTATCCACCATGTTTAAGATCTTCGACTCGAATCTCTTTTTGAAAGAAATGAAGCGGTACAGAACAACGTACTTCGCGGCAGTTCTGTGGCCTACAAGTCTTGTAAGTATTAAATTCGATTGCGCAACAGGTGCATTTATCAATAGATTGAATTTAGACCATGTGTAGGACGCGGTTGCTCAATTGGTTAGAGCAACAGCACGGAACGCTGTGGGTGCCGATTCAAGTCCTGCGTGTCGTTTTTTTTTTCCATTTATAATCGATTTTTTATAAGTTCAGTAGAG